CCCCGAGTTTTGTGTTTTCGTGTTTTAAAACGTGTACAAGAAACTATTTGCTGCAAGTGAATATTCAGTCTTTTTATAAATTCGCCAGTTATAGCCGTAAACCATAGTCAGACACCAAACGAGCGAGGGGATGCGTGTGGCAGTAAATTATGTAAGTGCTTGCACAACGTGAAACCACCTGCTTCTGTTTTTCATATACAATTGATTTGGTATTGATACGTACCTTCAATACTAGCATTCAAACTGCTTTGGTCGAAGACCAGTTTTTGTTACAAATTCAGCAGATGCTGAACTGTTCAGAACGTGACAGAGCAAAAATAGTCAAACTCTTTTCGAAGGGCAAGACTTCCGGATTACTGAGGTATTGGAAACTAAACTTGATTCTGAGCTACGTACTTAGTAAACTGACTGTTTTTTGATGCTGTGGTTTTGACAACAATGGCTTGATCGAAGAGAGGAAAGATTTCATTGTCAACCTTCCGATCGTACGACAACGGCCCACTTCGGGCCTTTACGACTGCAGTGCAAATCTGACTTTTCCAGTTATTTAGCAGCTTCTGTTTGTCACATCGTAGACTTTAGTGTAGGCAGGCTACCTTTCTTTAAAGATGTGAGGTTCATTTCCCAAAGAGCGGCGGTATAGCCCCTTACTCTATCGGAAATGAACTGCGTAGCGAAGGGTTCACATTCGTAAGTAGCTGGACAACTTCGAACTAAGAAATACTGCGTGGCAGAAGTCTACACTGCAAGAGGTAACTTACGAGTTGTACGGTGAAACTAGTTCCTCTACCGGCTAAGGTAAGTTGAAAGATGTCTGCTGTATCACTGGTGCAAACTCGACGTCCTGGCAGTAACGAAAGCTTGCCTCCCTGGAAAGGGAATGCTTGTCTTGAACGATGGGTGGTCTTTATGATGAATGGTCCACTATAGATTGCGCCGTGTCGGTGTTGGTATCCTCTGGGTAAATCGGAAGGTCTTTTCTATGGAAAGTGTAGGATAAGATCCTTGTCTGTTGGGCAAATGTCAAACAGACAACGCTGAATATCATCGTCGTCTATGTCCCGACAAGCGTTTCGAGTGACAGCGACAAAGACTCTTCTCAGGACGGCTTGCAGTCAGCTGTTAGCCCTCTGCAGCGTCATGACGTCACAGTTGTCACAGGCGACCTTAACGTGCGGCTTTGGCCTACTATAGCACCTGGTCAAGCATACTAGGTCGTCATGGAATTGATACCGCGAATGACAACGGCTTCCGCTTGCTAGGCTTTTGCGCGACAAACAGCTAAACCCTGGGCGGACCCTCATTCCCTTATAAGCGAATCCACTAAAGGATATAGACATCACCTGACGGAAGCCCACCCAATTGGACAACATCCTCATCAGCCACAATTGACGCAGCTCGTTACTCGACACTCGCGTCAGGCGTGGAGCCCGCATTGAGTCCGATCACCATATGGTCGTAGTGGAACTTCGTCTAAGATTAGCTGTGTCACGTCGACGTAGTCTGGTCGAAACACACCAGCTTCTAGATGTTGAATGGCTACTATATGACGAAGTGGTGCGGTCGGCCCACCAGGTCGAGAGTTATTTTAGTGCCACCGTAAATGCCGAGTCAGCAGCGTCGATGAAGTCCGCAGAGACTTGAAAGATTGCGCCAATTCTATGGCGAAGAACGTAGTTGGGATCAGTATGAGGTAAGCCAAGCTGACCAGGGTTACGCAGAGTACTTTAGTCCTTAGATTGCCGAGGAACAAGGCACAGGAGTATTTGCAACACTCAAAGGCAGCTCATCGTCATCTCGTTCATGCAGTCATATTAAACTGCAGGCGAGGCAGCAAACTTGGCGGGTGAAAACGAAATCGAAGATCGGTAACGCAGTCAGAACGTGCGACTGGCA